ACAATCTAAAATTTCAAAACAAGTCTGTTATTTTTATATAAACATTGTTCATGTTCAAAATAACTCGATTCCAGTGACTAAAAAATCTGTATCATAATGAAGTTCATTATGAAACAGATTTTAAGCGTATTATGAAACGTCAGTAGAAAAAAATTGTTTTGGAAGATCCTCGTCATAATATGGATGGAAAATTGATGGAAATTATTGGAGGCCAATATATTATCAGTACAAGATTCGATCCCCGATGATGTGAGAAAAGCTTTGTCAATCCAGTGTTCCGACAAAAATTGCAACAATAGGTGCTCGTGTTTAGCACAAGGATTAAAATGTTGGGGCGAATGAAAATATAATATGCAATATGTAGTAACAGACCACAAAACGAAAACCTCATTTCGTCAGATTCGGATGAATTCTACATTTTTTTAATTTCTGTTTTTTTTTTAATTAAATAATACTAGGTATATTTATTTTACTAGAACAATAAATTATTTTTTCATCACAAAATTCTCTCTGAATATTTTATATAAGTCAGGAGTTCACCCAAGCGGGCCTTCAAAACACATCAAGAGCGCGGAAAGGACGGTAAGCACATCGTGCGGCGCCATTCGCCCCTGTGCTATTAATTTCAAATGGCGATAACTAGAAAACTATTTGCATCAGAAGTCTGGTTTCTATTTTAAAAACTTTTTCAATATCCTATCTATAATTCATAAGCAGATACTATGCAAAATTCTTTGAAATAAAAAAGTTTCTCGCTTATCGAAAATCATGCAGCAGTAAAAGTAAAATTTCGAGTTTAGTCCGTTTTTTGGAAAAAAATTGGCTTACTAGGGGACTTAAATTAGTTTAATTATGACCGCTTATTTGTTCTCAATCGATTAAAAAAAAATCATGTTTATACGTTAATTAGTTTCGAAGTTATCGCGTAGTATGTGTAAAAAAAACACATATATAACATTTTGACAAATTATTGACATTTTTCGGCATAAAAAATGTCTGACCGCCCCAACGATGTCGTAATAAGTCGTTTCACATGCGCAAGGACCTAACCAATGATCCTATATAGGTTTCATGTGGTTATACCACAGAAAAAAAAATTGAACATTTTTCCACCGTTTTTACTCAACTATTAGTACTTAGGATCTTTGCTTTGAAAGTTTAAGCCAATCATGGCATGCTTGTCCAATATTTTTATCTGTTATGTCTCCTGCCGTGATACCCACTTGGTCCTCTCCTTGGAAGTAAATTTTTGTAGCCTCTGAAAATAATTACATATTATAAGTGAGTTATTTTTCATGAGGGTCACTCATGGCAGTGCAACTGTACGATATTAATACGTAGATTTTACGTTTGTATACCATTCTCAAAAAAACAACAATAACTTTATACCTATTGAAAAAAAAAAACATACTACCTATGTACTGGCCCACCTACATGATTCATCCAACAACTCATTTATAATTAGTTAACGAAAAAAAAATGTCGAAAAGGATTGACCATTCCAGAACAGATGAGATGACTTTACTATGACAATTTGCTCTGGGGGGCACACATCAAATATAACCAAATATTACAATTTTGCCATTTTCCGACAAGTTTTTAACCTCGGAATCTTCAAAATTGACAAAAAAATTATCGTATTTCTCTCAGCGTGAGGAATACTGGAATGGTCAATTGTTTGTACTTGTGTGGAAAACGAAACTAAGAAATATCAGCTTGTAAATCAAGTATCGAAATGGCTGAATTTTGTAAAAAAATAGCAAACATGCCAGGTTTTTCAAATAAATATTCCTAATTCTAAACAACCAATATTTTTTTACTTACTGGATTCATTAGTCTGCTATTGATAAGGGCAGCTAAAGATTCACGATTCACAAGTTACAGCAAGCAAGCAAGCACTACGCACTCACGGGCACGGCAATTTTTGCTTGTTGTAGACCGGCTAGCAACATCGGGAACGGATCGCAATCGACACGACGCGTGCGTGGTTCAGCCACAGGCAGCAGCTGATTGGTTGATAAAGGATCGCCTGACTTTAGCTGTCTCCTGTCTGCGCTTTCAGCACTCCTTGTTGGTTACACAAGCGCGGGAAATATACAATTTTTGAATTTTAATCGGTTATTGCTCCCTTTTCTGAAAACTGAATGGGAGACAAAATCACTAGAAAAAAAGGCACGTCGAGTTATCATTCAGTGTAGGTACCACATTTTCCAAAACAAATGAAAATTCCGATAGGGTATTAAAAATACTCATAGGATATAGGATAGGTTGGCATGGCAATGGCGATGGCAACTGGCAAATAAGAAAAAAGCAATTCGGTCTGAGGTGAAGGGGGAGGAGAAAACGATATGGAAATACAAAGTTACGATAAAATAGAGCGTGATAGAAATATTAGTTCGCATGTTTGCCGCCTTCCGTTCAATTCTCATTTCTGGCTGGTCGCTCCTATGCTTTGATTATATCGGGTCTTCAAAAAAAAACCAATCAAAGATTGCTTTGGTTACGAAAACGTACGTCGCATTATTGTTTCTTTATTGGTCAGGATTTTTGACATGACATTTTGACATTAAATTTCATTGACTGACATTGTCAAAATTAAAGAAAAATATTGCTAAGACAGACGTTTAAAAAACCATAGCAATCTTTGATTGTTTTTTTTTTTTAAGACCCGATACAAATATGATAAACTATAAACTATCTCAGGCCCGGGTTTTCAGTAAACTTCTGACAGGAATACATTTCTGACAGGAATATAATACATGGTATACTGCAAACCAAAAAGTTTGCTAGCTTAATTATTGAAATATCGTAAAAATCTAATTTACAAATGATAATTATCCTTTATAAGTAAAGTGTAAAGCGTATTAAAAAATCTTCCTACATAAGCGTAGAATAATACAAGTAAAGCAAACTATTATATCCGTGAATATGGCCAATGTCTTGGCTTATTTTTCCATCTATTATAGAAGTTTCTTTTCAGGTTAAATTTTATTGGGCAACGTCCATCTAGTATGAAGTGGTAGAAGTACTTTAAAAATTCATCTTTGAAGATGACGATTTGTTAGCTCAGTTAGTTAATCATAACGGGATCAATTACCCCTTATCGTGAGTAAAATGTAAAAAAATGTTGTGTATGGCCATATAATATAACAGGTTTAATAAACAATAATATAGTTATACTATTATATACCCATAATGTACCCTACTTTTCCGTCTACCATAGACATCTATTTTTAAGTAAAATTTTATTGGATGTAATGGGCCTTTCGTCAACAAACAAAATAGTGACATTGTCTATTTACAATTAACTGCTTATTTGCATAACAGCATATATAGTTTTTTCCAAATCTACACTTGCTGGTAATAAAGTAGTATATGATATATGTTTAGTTAAGGTCTACAGATTATACGTTGACGATATATAATTAGTAAACGTTTAATAAATATATCAAAACTACAATATTGTCGGGTCGGACTTTTGTTAGAAATCCGATCCTAAAGCGAAAATATACTTTTATATTTTCTTACCAAGATCTTCCTTATTTTCCTATCCAAAACTTCTAATAACCATTAATTCAAAAGAAACTAGATAATCAGTTTAAATCAAATTTATTTCTATGAGATGAGCGAAGCGAAGCAAAGCGAAAATATAATTATTTGATAGATAATTGGATATTGAGTTCAAATAATAAAGATAATCCTAAGTTTCAAATAAATAAGTTCTTACTTGCTAGAATAATGGGATTAAATATAAGACAAAAATATGTAACTTCTAAATCATACAATTCGAGAAAGAAATAATAAATAAAATACCACTTACGGTGTTGGCGGAAAGTAGAGTTTTTCCGGAATAAAGTTGTAGGCTTCCATCACTAGTTTGAATAAATTTAACTGAGCTATATTAATTTCAAAATGCAAACTAGCAGAGTAACTTTCTGCACTAAGAGTTAAGTAAGAGCTACCCACTTTACGCCAACATGCATTTTTATACAAAATTTTCATCAGGAAAATTACCCTCACTATCCTACCTTCAGTGTCGTACCATGATTTGTTACCATTTGTACAAAATTAATAAACAACATGTTTAATCCCTAAAACACAAGTTAGAATGAGACAATCATAAAATTAGCGCTGACTTAGCACATTTCCAGCTTAGTCTGCAATAATACTAGCGGAAAACTCGCCCCTCATACACATTCCCACTCTCCTAGATGTAATCCTGTTGTCCTCCCATTGGTACTACGTCAACTTCCAAAATCCCACCATTCATACGGAGGAGGATTCAACTGGAACTGTTGAGACTAGGCAAGCCATAGGGAATTCATAACCATAGGTGGAGAATTATTTTTCTGCCGTTGGCTAATTACCGACATTACCCCCGGTACCAGTGTCGACGACTCTGGCGACACAACCATAAGTATTTATTGGTGCTTTCTCTTCAGTGGGCGTTGCAGCATTTACGAGATGACGTTGACCACCTTCAATTCTTCTCATACCAGTTTGTATATTGAGAAGTACATCCCTGGATGTGCTTATGGGGTCGGTTGTGACGGTTGTGATATGTTTACATGTAAACAAAAATGTAGTATTAGAACTTAAGCTTCAAATGCCTTAAAAGTCTTAAAATATAATAATTTACAGCAATATTATTGTCAAACTTGAATAAAAAAAATAAGTTATTGGTCTATAAGGACACTGATAGGCAAGTACACTGGTTCACAATTTTTTCATTAATTCTTCCTTCAAAAAAGTAAGTGGTTCATTTGTGATCAGTAAATAAACTACAAAGAAGTAACATTTTTTTCTCTCCTAAATAATAGAATAATAAAAATATAATAAAGTCGGTTATATCATACCTCACTCTTGTTACTTACTAGTACAATATAATCTGTATGTTGTTTACAACAAAATAAAACGATTTTAGTAAGCAAAAAGAGTGTATATTTATATATGAAATTAAAAATAAGAAGAAAAAAAAATAATGTGTCATTTTCAAAGTTTTAAACACATGTTTCATGTTCAGCTTTGAAAGAAACTGGAAACGTTTCCCCTGTAGGAAGACTTAACTTCCCTATTTGGCCATCAAACAAATTTATGTTAACATCAGAAGACTCACTGCTTCTTTTACTCTGTATATACTTATATAAGCACAAAATAATAATTCCCAAAATTACTAAAAGTATGCATACTATCATGACAAGCAACAATACTTGTTCTTGTCCAAGGAAATTCAAATCTGATGCAGTTTCACTATTGACCGGTCTAACAAAAGGAACAATTCCAAAAACATTTTGCTTATGCAACAAATAAAAGATCAGTATTGATAAAACTATGTTCCATATTACGAATAAACTACCATTATGTATAAGATACGAATTTGCTGAATACACACAGTAGGTGTCTTGAAACTGCCTTACATCTTTGTATAAGTTATCAATTTCTCGGGACGTAGAAAGATTAAGATAAGGTATAGTAAGGGACCAGTTATAATTCAAACATTCATTTAAGTCTGTAAAAACAGGGTGAGACAATAAATTTTTATCAAATGTTATCAAAAATGATTTTAAAGTCGACCACGTTGCCGGTAACACATGAACTGCCATAGACTTAAAAATATTTGTTTTTCTGCATGGAAATCTAGTTCCAATAAGAATTTCGTTATTAACTGAAAGTTTACAATGACATGGAATTTTAAGTTCGATTGCACCTGGTTGTTCATAAAGAACATCAGGTAGTTGATGTGTAGTCGATTGGCATTCAAGTTTCGTAAATTTCTTTGGGTGTGTTATGACAAAGACGGCATTATCGATTTTGGACACTACGGTTGAATTTGCATTATGACATCTCAGAGGACAAATACGTGAAATGTCCTGAATAGTACCACCCATTAACATATTTTTTGAATAGTCGCTTCCGAAAGAAGTGTCTGCCAAGAATGTTGGTAAATAACAAAGTTTGTCTTTATAGGGTTGACACTCTCTTAACATTGTTCCTGTTATTGGTCTAACAGAAAGAATGCTACCGTCATGTGCTGTGGAATTTGAGGCAACAGCCACATAATGGTTTTGCTGCAAAAAGATGCATGTATCATTATACCAGGCAAATGGAACTGGTATCAGTTCATAAAGTTTCCACAACATATGATTTGCTTTTACTGGTATTCTTACAGTTATAATTGTAAACCTTTCACTTAGTGTACAATCAGATATCGGTAGCTGGTAATATTGAGACAACTGTGTAAATGGTATAGCCAAAACATGATCAAATTTTTTAATTTCATTAGAGATCGTTCTTAACTCTTTCAAAAGTTTTGATGGTGTAATTGTAAAAACTGAGATAAAATGAAATCTGCAGTAATTCAATAATTCATTTTTTCTGAGAACCAAAAGCAATTCAAAAGATTTTAAAAGATTTTTGTAGATTTCTCTAAAATTATCCAGTTCAGCATAGTCATGACTATTTAAATAGGATTGTACCATTTTAATTTTTGATTCTAGAACTTCAGTATTCTGGTTCTCTTTTACTGAAAAGTTTTTATAATTTTCTATGAAATTTTCGTATTCATTTTGAAATGTATTGTATAAAGTTGAAATATGAGATTTTAAATTTGCATCTTCCATGTATAGTGAATCTAATTGATGTTTCGTGACGAGACCGCAACACCATGAAATTGCGTCCCCTATAAAATCAAGTGCCCTTTTTTGCTTACCCTGTATCTTAATGTCCGAGTCCGTATGTGCTAGATTAAAGTCCATCTGTGACAAAAGTGCTGAGAAGCTCAGTCTTAACTCAATCGTGCGGTTTACTGCCTGGCAGAGACGTATTTCGCAATCGCCGTAGGTGTAATTACGAAGAGTTGTGTGGTCCATTATACTCTTCATAAATGGTGACTTCCGGTAAGTTTTTCAAGTATGCTCCTGGAATTATCTTAATGGGTCCGGATGCTATACTTGTTATTTGAATAATAAGTAAAAGTAACCTCAAACAAAAAAAAAAAAAAAAAAAAACGTCTCAATAAAATGGCAATATTAGCACAAAATAAATCCCTTAATATATCTACAATGATGAATATGAGTTATTCATAAAATGATACCAAAGTTTCTAGTCTACGCCCGTACTTCTAAGAATAATATCCCCTAAAATATATTCCATTATAATATTTATGATTACGATATAAAATTAAATTGTTATAATAGTGATATTTCCCCTAATTATGAACAAGCTAGATAGTTTAAACAGATATTAGATGCCTAAATACCCAAGAATATACAGCTATATAGCAAACCTATCCTCCGAATAATATATAGAATTTAAAAAACAATAATAATAAAAATATATGTAAGTATATATATACATAATTTGGTTTAGACTTCAAGACTTAAACATTTACTTTCTTGTAATAAAAAATTCTAATACCCCCAATTAGAAAAATATTTAACGTATAACTTGGGAGTATCGCCCTACAAGTTTTGCAGCACTGGGTCGTTCAGAAGATCCTCAAACTGAGAATCCAGGGACTCAACATCACTATATAAGTCTAGGTTGAGAATTGTCCCCATCTGCGGAAATGACGCTTGAATTAAATTCAAGGTTATCATCATCCCCCAGAGTTTACAACATAATTCGCCCAAGTTACCGTTAATAGCCCATGTATATAGTGATTGGGCATATTCCGGGCTAAGAAGGGTAGGTTGTAATGAAGTGCGGAGGGTAGTTGCATAATAGCTCAAAATATTTTCTACTGGCAGCACATTAAGAAAGAAGAATTCGCTATAAAAATAATAATGGTCTAAGAACCTCGTTACCGAAGGCCTCATGACTTGCATGTAGTAATCCCACCACCAGCAGAATTCGGTCGTTTCTGTTTGGACCTTAAGGATCATATCAATGCATCTAGAAGGAAATATCGGAATGTGAATTTATGTATCACTATTCAGTGAAGAGTAAACTTAAATTAAAATTATTTTCCTGTTCAGGATCCCACGGTTCAAAATAAGGAAGTATTCGCGAAACATGAATTACCTCTTTTTTAGCATTTTTTGAAGTACCCTTTTGTATTAAATAATCAACTTCATTCAGTTTTTTCTCAATGATGTAAGGACCGAAGTATTTTAATAAAAGTTTTTCCGTTCTACCTACTTTCCTAATAGGTGTAAATATTTTCACCCTTTCCCCTTCTGTGTACTCAGTATGTCTATGTTTTTTATCGTATCTTATTTTATCCTGCCTTTGCCGTTTTATTATATTTTTTACTGCATCATTACGTACAATGAGAGCTCTTTTCCTAATATCACTAACATACTGATCAACAATCGGCAATTGCAGTGAAGCATCGGTTGGCAAGACTGGTTCTCTTCCATAAACTAACATAAATGGACTATACTTTGTGGTACTTTGGACAGATACATTATATGCCCATATAGCATGTACTAAATACTCACCCCAATCAGTATGAGAACTATTGGTATAAAGACTCAAAATGTTTGCTAATGTTTTATTAAGCCGTTCACAAAGACCATTACATTGGGGGTGATAACTTGTAGTCATCAGAGAGTTAACACCCATAATTCTTAATAATTCCGAAATTAATTCAGATTTGAATACTTGACCTCTATCTGACAAAATATATTTTGGACAACCATGTCTGGTAATTATATTTTCTAACAAAAATTTTGCAACTGATGGAGCTCTTCCATCCTTGAGTGGTTTAGCTTCAGCCCACCTAGTCGCATAATCAATACATACCACTATCATATTATTACCATTAATCGAACGTGTAAAAGGTCCTAATAAATCAATGCCTATTTTTTCAAATGGGGTTCCTACTAATAATGGTTGTAGAAGCCCCGATGGTTTTTTGGTACTGCCTTTACGAGCTTGGCAATCCGGGCAACCTTTAACGTATTTTTCAGTTTCTTTTTGCATACCATCCCAATAATATCTATATTTGATCTTATTGAAAGTCTTAAGAAAACCTAAATCACCCGCTAAAGGTTCATTATGATTGGAAAATAGAATTTCTCCTTTTAGAGAGTTTGGTACTACTAAAAGATGTAGATTTCCAGTATTATTGGGATTTCGTCTATAAAGAACATTATCAATCATTAAATATAATTTTATTTTTTTCCTTTCTAGAAGGGAGAGATTGTCATCTGTTGGATTATCAAATAAAGCAATAATTTTCATAAGATTTTCGTCATTTCTTTGTAAGGATGATATTGAATCGCTATCAAGAAGATAAGTTGGTAAATCGTAATCTTCTACGTCTATTAGTGAGTTTGGACAATCTACAGGATTACGAGAAAGACAATCTGCATCGCTATGCAATTTTCCACTCTTATGCTTTATTGTGTAATTATAATCGCTTATTTTAACAGCCCATCTAGCTAACCTACCATTTAAATTTTTAATAGTTTTTAACCAACACAACGCATGGTGATCTGTAATTATATTAATCTGACGTCCGTAAACCAATGAACGTAATTTAGATAAACTCCACACCGCTGTGAGCGCCTCTATTTGGATCAAAATGTGCCAAAAGTGGAGCCGAAATTAATTTCAACTTTAAAAGATCAAAAGCTTCTTGATGTTCAATTTCCCATTTAAAAGTATTACTTTTCTTTGTTAAACTATGCAATGGTTTTGCTATCTGAGAAAAATTTGGGATAAATTTCCTATAAAAGTTTAACATACCCAGGAAACTTTGAAGTTTTTTCACTGTTTTTGGGATGGGAAGTTTTTCTACAGCGTAAATTTTATCTAGATCCGGTAAAATTCCATCTTTAGATACAATATGGCCTAAAATTTTTATTCTTTCCATAGCAAAGTGGCATTTACTAAGTTTTAAAGTTAAACCTGCTTTTCTAAGCCTATCAAAAACGCGTTCTAATCGAATTAAATGTTCTTCAAACGCGTTTGAAAAAATAATTATGTCATCAATATAAATTAGTACTTCATTCCATTTTAACCCTTCAAAAAGTTTCAGCCAGCTTTTGAAAGCTTGAAGGCCCATTACAAAGACCATTACTTGGAATTCATAAAGACCATCTTGTGTAATAAAAGCTGTTTTCTCCTTTGATGATTCATCTAAACTTATTTGCCAAAACCCGCTAAACATATCTAAAACCGTGAAGTATTTTGCTCCATTTAAATAAAACAATATGTCTTCGATCAGTGGTAATGGATAAACTTGCTTTTTAGTTATATTATTTAATTTTCTATAGTCAACGCAAAATTTATGAGAACCATCCGGTTTTTTAACTAAAACAACCGGACTAGACCACGAACTATTACTAGGTCTTACAATACTATTTTCTAGCATTTCTGTTACTTGATCATTAATTGCAAATCGTTCTTTCTGAGATACCCTATATGGTTTAGATTTTATTGGATCTGCATCTCCCGTATCTATAACATGTTGCATTAAATTTGTGTACCCAACTTCTTTGGAACATGAAGCCAACAGATCTTTATTTTTATTTAAAAAATATTCCAGGTTTTGTTTATTATCCGCGGTCAAACAAGTATTTATGTTATACTTTATTGTACTATCTTTTAATTTTTCATTTGTAAACAATATCTCATCAGCATGAAAATGACAAATGCTTATAAACTTTCCTAGTGCAGTATCTGCAAAAAGTTTTAAAACAGTGTGCTTTGTTGATTTTATTGTAACAAAGAGTTTATTATAACGTATAAAAGGTGGCGATAAAATACTCAAGCCATTCTTCACTATGAATAAATCATTGTATTCAAAAAAATAATGAGTGAGAGCATTTTCCAAGGAGTCTGAAAAATTCTGAATTTGCACTTCTAAATCTTTAATTTCATTAAATTTAATTATAGTATCTGTTAAAATGCATACTTTGTAATATATATTGTCAACAACCATATCACGCAAAGTCAAATAATTTTCAAAATATGTATTCTTGAAAGGAATTGTTACTTCTATTTTAGTCAGAGTAATATTTTTCCCCGAAAAATCTATTAGTGCTCCATATTGATGTAAAAATTTCACTCCTAAAAGAAGTGGCTGTGGGAGCGAATGAATTATTAAAATTTCAACAGAGACCTTTCTATTACCAAGAAAAATTTCTATTATGGCAGAACCTAAAACATTAATTTTGTGATTATCTGCAGTTTCCAAGCATCTAGCTCCTAATTTAAAAGACTGGTAATTTGGAAAATACTCTGCGGATGCTATATTTTGAAATGCTCCAGTATCGATTATAATACTTATACTTTTTGAACTGTATGTTCCTTCAATCAATAAAATTTTTTGACAGGGGAGATTATTTATTAAATCGTCTTGTTGCAAGGGTTCGGTAACAAAGGGTGTAGGGGTGTCGTTCGGAAAAGTTGTTAACGGCACCCCGCTACATCGTTTGGGTTATTTTCTGACATTTTATTACAATTAGCTTCATGTTGAGACTGACAATGGCATGGGCGACAATTTTTAGAATTAGAATCATTTTGTTCAGGATTTTCGACATCCATTAAAGCTAGAAAGTTGCTTGCTCTGGGTGTTTGAGAATTACTAGGAGTGCGATTGTTGTTGTACCTAGGTAATCTACAAGTAACTTGCATGTGACCTATTTTCCTACAATTATAACAAATTGGCCTACCATCATGAGTACGGCTTTTAGAATTCTTGAAATTATTATTATATTTGTTCCTATGGTAGGAATTAGTTCTATTTACAAATCGAGTAGGATTTGAGCCATTAGAACTTTGTGGAAATTGTTTAGATCCTGAAAAATTCGGTTTATTATTTTGTTTATAGACAACTTGTTGATTTCGTTGTGTGAAATTTTGCGAATAATTATTTTTTGGCCTGCCTTTGAAAGAACTACTCGAGCTTCCTTTTTCGGCAAGAGTCAAAACTTCAGAAAAAGATTTGGTTAACGAGGTTATTTTATGAATTTCACTTAGCCTGTTTACTAATTTTGCTAAATCCTCTAAATTTGAAGGAGGATTTTCTTGTAATAAAAAATAATTTGTCAGTAAATTTGAATGTAACCCATTTTCAAAATTTTCTAAAATCCTGTCAAAAGTCATATTCGGATCATACTCATTACAAAGATTAAGAATTCTGTAATAATATGATTTTATATCTTCGTTTTCTTTCTGTTTTGCAGATATCAGGCGAAGCTTTAGTTCTCGATTTGCTGAGATCACTCCAAATTCTGAACAAAAATCTTTTTTAATGTCTGGCCATTTTTTATTTGCGTTTGCAATATTTGCTTTATATTTGCTGTACCACGTATTAGCCGCATTTAATAAAAAACTACCAAAATATAATAGCTTATGTTTATCGCTCCAAGAATTAATGATCGCGCATCTTTCAAAATTTTTAATAAAATCGCGTGCATTATTTTCTGTATGATCAAATAAATCTGGTGATATAAATTTTGGCAAAGCTGGTTCGCAAGACTCATTTCTAACTGACGAAATAGTTATGTCAGCCATATCAACTGATAAATTTAAATTTGTAATAGAGATATCACTAATTTCTAAAATACTTGTATTTGGAGTTAAAGTAGACGTGTCCGTTAATTCTATTTGATCAGAAAGTAAATCAGGTGGAGTTCTTACTTGAAGTTTAGATAATTCGGCAGAAAGTTCCCTATCAGTTTCACCTGAGTTAATTCCTGTATTCCTAAACTTTGGAATAAATGTTTTTTCTAAAGTATCTTCAGAAGGACTATTGCTGCTGCTACTACTAGTAGAAATAATATCTTTAGACCTACTAGCAATTGTTCCACCTCGTGGTAAATTCAATGTAAGTGTAGGAAGTTTTTGACCTTGTTTCGCTGTGCTTCGTAAAAATCTTTTATTTGTATCTGGTTCTTTTTCACCAGACATGAAAATATGAAATATCAAAAAAAAAATGACAAAATAACAACAATAAAAAAATTAATTATTCAAGAAATAAATTTTGAAAAAATTAGAAAGCAAGGTGCGCCTCCACCAATTGTCGGGTCGGACTTTTGTTAGAAATCCGATCCTAAAGCGAAAATATACTTTTATATTTTCTTACCAAGATCTTCCTTGTTTTCCTATCCAAAACTTCTAATAACCATTAATTCAAAAGAAACTAGATAATCAGTTTAAATCAAATTTATTTCTATGAGATGAGCGAAGCGAAGCAAAGCGAAAATATAATTATTTGATAGATAATTGGATATTGAGTTCAAATAATAAAGATAATCCTAAGTTTCAAATAAGTTCTTACTTGCTAGAATAATGGGATTAAATATAAGACAAAAATATGTAACTTCTAAATCATACAATTCGAGAAAGAAATAATTAATAAAATACCACTTACGGTGTTGGCGGAAAGTAGAGTTTTTCCGGAATAAAGTTGTAGGCTTCCATCACTAGTTTGAATAAATTTAACTGAGCTATATTGTCAACTAATGGTCTATAAATAAAAACCATCCTGTATAAAGCCAATAATGCCCAAAAAGGCCTGGACAAGGTATTGGTAGTCCCTAGAGAAATGGTGGAAGAAGTAATGTGGGAATTACATGCAGCCCCAACAAGTGGGCACTTGGGTTTGTCAAAGACGCTGCAAAAAATACAAGAGAGGTATTATTGGGAAAATATGAATAAAGACATAGACAAATAACAGGTAATGGGCTGCACTTATGTAAGCCGTACCACAACAAACTATGCTACCTACCCCGTTTTTCTGGAGATCCATCTCAAGGAACAACCTGTGCTAGGAAGCTATTTCAGGGAGCAACGGTAGAGGAACTAGCAGAGCACTGCCCATTAAGGTGTCATGGGTCATCCCTGATGATCATCACGGAAATTGGATTGGAAGAATACACTCTGACACATCCAAAAGAAGGAACCACGATCAAATGCCCAAAAGCCACTGTACACCTACAAAAAAACATAATAGAATTACCAGGGGCAATTAAACTATCCTTACCTTGCAATTGTGAGGTACTCCTTAACGAAGAATTACTGATCCCACAAAGGTTCCCTTGTTCCAAATCTCTAAAAAACAACGTCTCCATAACATACGTACTACCAGCAACATGGACCACATTGAAAACGTTTATCCTAAATCCTACAGCCAGTACTCTCCTGCCAACGTTCCAAAACATGCAGGAATGCCTAAACCATAACTGGTCCCTCACGATACCTCACTTGAATCTAACTTCAAGTAACAAACTGCTAGCTGAAATCAGAGCGAATCTTAAAGATACAGCAAGCCCAGGCCATGACACATATGTGTGGCATACGGAGAAACACAGCATAATGTTCATATGGAATATTATAATATCACTATTGGTATCATACCTGATGTTCCATCGACCAACAGCCATGATGCAAGGATTGATGCTACCCCCAGTCAAGGGACAAATGCCCCAAGACAAAAAATTGGAACACGATGCAGTATTTTACATAACCTGGGCGGTATTTACAGTGTTTCTACTATATCTAATAAGCAGATTAATAGCCAAGTACTGGGAAAAATACAAAAACTCATCTACAACCAACCATAATTCACCTCCCGGAAGAACCTTCATCCTCGAAATCCCGGAATTAGCCTCACTGGAAAATATGTCAGCCAACGCCCCTATACAATGTAAATTATCAGAAACACAGCAACAAAGCACAACCAAAATGACGCCACACTGCCACGGTACAACGAACGAACAACCAGAGTGCAACATCAACAAAAAACACCGGCCTGCAAAATGACACCTAGAGGATATCATATACCCAAAGATAAGTGCTATTAAATTGTTATTAAATTATATTTTAGTATAGGTAATTAAGTATAGAGGTAGGTCAGTTTTAGCAGAACAAAGAAACACAGAATTGAATATTTTTTTATTATTTTTATTTTTATTACTTATTTTTCAAAAATATATAAAAATTATGGGGCGCCTTAGGGATAGACGTCCCGAAATAAAAACAAGACGGCCACACACCGGATCCATCTTAATGAAAACCTGCCCAGGGGGAAGACGAGGCGGCCAACAATCATCGGCATGTTGTCGAACCAATAATATCTCGGGATGGTACCCCTGAAAAAATATAATAACAAAAATCTATTTGGAATAAGCAGAGGCTGTGGCTGTACATACCCTCGGCAGGTCGGGATACCGTCTCCTCAGGATAACCATAACACGCCGCCTAAGGCGTGTTTGATAGCGGCCTGGATCTATTGAAAAAAAAAAAAAAAAAATATAAATAAAAAAAAATAATATATATATATGAATATATAAAAGAGAAAGTACAAGGAAATGAAATATGTATAAATTATTTTTTTGGGCTACTTACATTCCATATTTAACTATTCAAACTCATACTCACCAAAGGGGTAATTAACAATTTTTAGGTATATTTAGTCAATTAAGCATAACATAATAAATAAATTCACACATACAGGAGGTAAGAAATTTACTAACACTTTGATCTTATTGTTACAGGGGCCGAAAAGAAAGAAAAAAAAAAAAAGAGGGAAAGAAATATTCCCGAACAAGCAGCTAGGAGCCAACAGAAGGGGTACTGAGATACCAAATTCTTTTCATATATAATGTATATATTGTTTTAACTAGTACTTTTATAGAATAAGTAAGATTATTGTAAAGGTATGGTCACATGATTCTTAGCGTTGGGGGCCAACGCCTTCACAGGAGGGGCATATGTCAACTAATGGTCTATAAATAAAAACCATCCTGTATATCAAAAATAATTAAAACTAACTAGAACACGATTTATCGACAGTCAGCGGTTTAAGCAGGTCAATGCGTAAATTATGTTTACACGCCATGAATATAAAAACCCGATACAACCATGGTATCGGCATCCATTCGGGTCTTTCTCTTCTCAGGGTCTCCTTACCCCAGGAAGCATTAACCCCTTCGGATCACTCTCTCCTCAGGGTCACCTTACCCAAGGGAGCAGTAGCTACATTCCTCTTCAGGGTCACCTTACCCCAGAGAGTCTTACCCTCCAGCAGGGTAGCGTTGCCTATACGTGCAGAACCCGGATTCCTACATAGAGCCCCAGCACAAGAGTCATGTGGTACACCTACGTAGTGCCTCTTTGGTAATGTACCTATTGGACGACAATATACACTATTCCCGTTGTAGTTGTGTGTTTTCCTGAAGAGCAAACCCTAACCTCAGGTCTAACCCTCACGAGCCGAAAGGGCCTTGTGTGACAATATTAATTTCAAAATGCAAACTAGCAGAGTAACTTTCTGCACTAAGAGTTAAGTAAGAGCTACCCACTTTACGCCAACATGCATTTTTATACAAAATTTTCATCAGGAAAATTACCCTCACTATCCTACCTTCAGTGTCGTACCATGATTTGTTACCATTTGTACAAAATTAATAAACAACATGTTTAATCCCTAAAACACAAGTTAGAATGAGACAATCATAAAATTAGCGCTGACTTAGCACATTTCCAGCTTAGTCTGCAATAATACTAGCGGAAAACTCGCCCCTCATACACATTCCCACTCTCCTAGATGTAATCCTGTCGTCCTCCCATTGGTACTACGTCAACTTCCAAAATCCCACCATTCATACGGAGGAGGATTCAACTGGAACTGTTGAGACTAGGCAAGCCATAGGGAAGTCATAACCATAGGCGGAGAATTATTTTTCAGCCGTTGGCTAATTCCCGACAATATTACCTACCTAAAAATGGCTGATTATACTTATATTATACAATTAATCAAATAAATGTGTTGCTCGGGTCTGTCGAATAATGTCTACTTTTTTTTTAGATTTCAGGGCGATAAAGTGAAAACTCATTACTTCATAAATGAGTCACAAATGCTTAAGAAAATTAGCCTGCTCGCCCTTGGGGCTTTCAGGTTAACCTTCCGGAGATCACGCGCGGACTCTCACTCCGCAATTATCTTACTATGCCGTTTATTTCAAAAATTGACAAACCATGGCGCTGCAATCTTAAGTATCTTTCTTTCCCGAGTTCTTTTAGAGTCAGTGCTCATTTGTGCCTTGATGTGCGCGTTTTTTGCCACATAATAACCAATGCGGACTGTGAGACCTTCTCATTTTTTTTTGCATTGAATGCCACAAATGTGTTTGTTTAGAGCCTTCCGAGGAGCATTCACTTGTTATTTGTTATAAATGCCGCTCACAATGAGACAAACTTCTATTTCCAATTAGAATCTTTATCTTTATCACTACACACTAATCTACTAAAAAAGACTAAACTACTTAGAAGAAATGCTTAACTTACATATTTCAAACGGTCCACTTCAATCGTTGGAACAGTATTTGGTTGTAGTCTCACTTTCAGCTTGGATGATCCAGCAAAACAATGCTCAGAAAAATGACAAGAACATAAAACACTACTGCTTTTTGGTAAAAATTCGGGCGTTTTCACGACATTAACCCATTAACCCCAAAGCTAGAACAAGGACTAACTTTTTCACTATCATTTTATAAAATCATAACTGAGTACCAATTAATATTTTCACCTGTGCAATTATGTTTAGACAAACCTAGTTTTTTTCCCAGAAATGTTGATTTTCAATTCAAAGGTTGATATACAAATTTCTAACACAAACATAATGATAAAGGGTCACCGTCAGTTCATCGTAAATCAATCTGTCGTACGTCAATTCATCGTACGCCAATTCGTCGTTAACTCAATTCGTAGTATACTTCAATTCGTCGTAAAGTCAATTCCTCGTATACGTGAATTCGTCGTATACGTCAATTCGTCGTAAAGTCAATTCCTCGTATAAGTCAATTCGTCGTACACGTCAGTAGATAGTCAAAGCGGGTTCTAGCACAAAAATCCGACCATAACCTCAATCTTTCATTCTTGACACGTGGTGGATGCGCCGTCCTTGA